TGGTCTTGTTACTCCATCGTTTGTGGGGACCAGTGATCAAGTTGCGGATGTTTTTACCAAACCTGTCACTCTGTCTATTCTTCGGGACTCTGTTGTCAAGCTTGGCTTAGTTGACATTTTTGCGCCTAGCTTGAGGGGGAGTGTTGGAGTATAGATAGTCTAGGTTTATTAGGATTTCTTTTCCCTTTTTTACCCTTACTAAGATTTTTATATTTGCCTAAACTACAAGGATGTTTAAGTCACTCTGTATTATTTTTAGATATATATACGGGACTCTACTCTTAATTTGAGTATCCCTTTTCACTTACGTTTATTCCAAGTGAAACTAGCGTGAGGGCCATCAATTTTGATTGTACGAGAGACGAATTAATGTTTGTGAAAACATTCACAACTCAACATCAATATGTAACTATTAGTGAGTGCCCTAATGTTTGATCATCGACAAGATCAAACAGGTCAGTTAATACTTGATGGGGGGGGGGGGGGGGTGTTCTAGGTCTCCCANTATTAGTGAGTGCCCTAATGTTTGATCATCGACAAGATCAAACAGGTCAGTTAATACTTGATGGGGGGGGGGGGTGTTTGTTCTAGGTCTCCCAAAATGGGCCAGCTTATCACGAGTGTATAGTAATTAAAGTTGATTGTGTATTAGATAAAAGCACTGATTTAGATAAACAGTAGGTTCACAGAAGTTGCTTACAACATGGCCTGCCTACATGATCATTGATGGATTCAGGTCCTCTTTAACAATTTCTTTTTTATATTTTTGTTCTCAGTATATAATCTATTAATATTAGTGAGCGACTTATTTATATACAATGGATCTTATTTAAATTCACGGTATATAGTCTACTAAGAAATATATATATTTATTTATTAGAAGAAATAACGCACCGAAATAAAAGAATCAAGGATTGTTTTATTTCAAATTAAAGACTTACTAAACTAATGCACAATCACTAAAGAACGATTGTCTAAAAAATTTTAAGATGGAGAAGGGTCATTCCCCTATAAAAAGTATTGGACAAATAATTGTTACGTCGTAGGTTTGAATTCAAAAATAACCAATTTTTATGCATTATCGTAAAACATAAGTCTATATATCAAATTTATCTCACGAAGAATTTTTTGATAACTATCCTATTAGAAGGGACTGTAAATTATGAGCAAATAGCTTAAAAGAGCAGTCAATACAAGTTCAAGTACTTTGTAATAAAAAATAAAAAAAATTATGGGTAAGCAGCTGCGTATTAGAAGACCTCCGGTAGAACATTCTAGATTACTACAAGTGGATTGGGCCAAATATTTTTTGCATTCAAAACATTATGATGCATTTTTTGGTCTAATTAAAAATAAATTATTAATATTGAGAATAGAATATTTATGAGAGATATGATCTTTCGTTAAAAAAATGTTAAGATTTAAAATTAAAATATTTAAATTTATAATTCGTCTTTATTATCATTTGAGTTACTTCTTAAAATTATTAATAATATATAATTGTTTGATAGGAAGCAAAAGCAAAATTTTACAAGGTTTAAAGTCAGACGCTACGAAAACTATGCCAAGCTAAGCAGACAACATTGGGACATGTTTGATGGACCAAACTTTTTGTCTCTACTGACTGGAATGGCAAGGTCCGTGTCCGTGTTGAAGTTTTAGGAATTCCTTGGAAAATACGAAAGTAATCTGGCTGGCTACCGCGTTGTCCTTTTGATACCGTGATGTCGTTTTGATATTCTTTTATGTTACTCATTGCGTTGCTGGTTCCTCTATGCTTTGGGGCTTCACTAACTTTTATACTAGGAAAAATTTTAACTTCGTCCCCTCTAGTTTATTATATCTTTAAAGACACCTTCTCTAGTTTTTGAATCTTTAATGACACCCCTTTTAGTTTAATTTAAACATCACTAACACCCTTTACCATTAAACTACCATTTCTAACAAAAACAAATTCATCTAAAATACCAAAAATACCCCTACATAACCTCAAGTAATTTTTCTACATAAAATTTTATTAAAATTTGAGTTGTTAAAATTTTAAAAAAAATTCGTAAATAACAATTTTAATAAATAATTTGTTAGTAAATACTAATTTGTTATTTACTAATTCTTAAATTTTAAAAAAAAATCCAAGCCTATTAAAATTTATTTTTTACATATTAAAATTTGAGTCGATTTGAACTCTACTCGAGTTGTTAGTGCCGATTAAAACTCTCTTTCGAGTCTATCAAAATTTATATATTTTTACTTATTAAAATTCGATTTATTAAAATTTAAGTCAATTAAAATTCATATATTTTTATATATTAAAATTTGGACTAATTAAAATTCAATGCGAATTGATTAAAATTTGATTTGAGTCGATTAAAAATAATTTTTAATTGGCTCAAACAAAATTTTAATTAGCCCAACTTTTAATACGTAAAAAAAAATTAATTTTTAATTGACATAAATTTTAATATGTAAAAAATAAATTTTAATTAACTTGAATCGAATTTTAATCGGTTTGAATTTAATTACGTTAAAAAAATAAAAAACAGAGGGGGTCTCATTGAAAATATACTTATCTAGAGGGGGTCGTATTGAAAATATGTTTATTTAGAGGGGGTGTGAATAAAAATTTTTCTCAAATATATCGTGGACAATTTAGTAAAATTGCATTCTACTTAATATTTTTAATCTGACAAGGAGTGTCCTTAGTAAACTAGAGGGGATGTGGTTGAAATTTTTTCTTTATACTATCTTTTTTTCTTTTTTGATTCTAATTCTTCAAGAGGAAAACAATTCTTTTTTGAGCATTATTTTTCCCCGAATCATCTTTTTCGATGCTAGAATGATTTTTGATGTAAAATTTTTGAAATGTTAAGGGACAGCCATGTCAAAATTAAAATATCAGGTGGTGCTTAGAGAATAAATTTAAATATTCGACACTCCCATTGAAATTATCCTACTTTTGTGTGTGTTTGGGGGGGGGGGGGGTGNACGGTATTTCTTGCCGTTGTTGTTAAGGTTTGGAATGGGTGAAGATGAGAGAATGGGTGATGGTTCTCTTACTTTATGGGGGTGCGTATTGGGTTAGGGTTAGATGGAAAGAATAGATTGGCCATAGGTTAAAGACATAATTTAGAATCTTAATGCATTATAACCATTAGATTAATAGTAAGATGCATTCAATTCTAAGACCCACCGACAATTCAATGATTATAATCATTAAGTCTCCAAATTATATTCCAATAACATTGCTTGATTGATAACTCTGTGTACACTTATAGGTGGTTGATGATGCATCCTCTCTCTCTCTTCTCTCTCTCACTCAAAATGCAATGGTTACGTCACATAATCACTTTCATATGATGTTACTATTCAATAAAAAGTCAAATAAAAAAAATGAAATGCACTTTAGGTTAGGATTAGATCGAAAGAAAAGTAATGCTACTAGGACAAAAAATATTGACAACATTTGTGAATTCCCAACATCACTATTATTGATTTAATTATGGATCTTAATATTTATTATAACTCACTATGTATTTAATAATTATGATGAAAGAAGTCAACAAAAAGTGTCAATATTTTTTGTTTAAATAGCGTCTCTTGAAAAAATTAGAGTGTTGATGAGTTTGGTTTTGGAACACGACGACCACTTATGGATGGTTTATGATATGTCTTCTCTCTCTGTCTGAGGAAAATGTTCAATATAACGGTAACACGTCATCACCACCACATAGTGTCAATATTCAGTATGGACAAATGAACCCAACCCACATAATTCATTAAACTATCAATTCCATATCATACAATACTTACCCCAAGTAAAGAAATGGTATTAAGTTCTTTCTTTTGATTTTTTATTAGATGGTAGCACCACGTAGTAATGATAATACAATGTCAGCATTGTATTGAATATTTATTCCCCTCTCCTCTCTCCCCCTCCCTCTATTAATACTATATGATGCTATTCAATTATATAGTTTTAAGTGCCTATCTCCTAATTCAACCTCTCTTTTGTCCGTTTCCTTTCAACACACAAACCTTTTTTTTTAGCAACGTTATTAGCACCTAATTTATTAACTTAATTTGTTATGATTTTTGAATTGACTGTGGGCTCCATCAAATATTAGAATTTAGTGTTAATCTAATGGTTCCAGTGAAACCACGTTATTAGGTCAGCAAATTATGTCAGATTTTTAAGTCCAAATAACATTTTCCTTTTTCTTTTTCTTCTCGGTCAAGGGTTTAATCCTTATGCACATTTTGAATAATTAGGATTTTCTCATTTACCAAAATTTCATTCTTGAACCCAAATCTTCATATTTATCCCAAAAAAATAAAAACAAAACATAAATCTTCATGATTTATGACCTTAAATTAATTCACTAAATTAGATTCCCATATAATTTCTCAATCTCAAATGGAATCAATCGGGTGGCTGCTTTTGTGAGGGAGGAGGGTGGATGTCTCATAATTAACGTTTGCGGGTCCACTTGCTTTCTATAAGTTTGACACGTGTCAATTCCCCCCCCCCCCCCCCCCCCCCCCCAAAAAAAAAAAAAAAAAGAAAGATTGAACTTCTGACAGATTATATACTTAATTGCCTCAAAACCCCAATTGTAATATGTAATTAATATTTGACAAAGTTCAAAGCCGCCTAGTTAATCCACCAATTTTTCAAAAGGGGATTAGTAGTGTGGTTGGTCTTTCACACGAACCTTCGTTTGTCAAAAGCTTTTTCTTCTTCGAAGAACGTCCCAAACATGCAAGTATAAGTACCAATCAAATGCCACTACAAAGACATAGATCGAAACCAGTGAGGAAGTCGCAGTCTTCATCTCATAAATTAAAAAAAAAAGTATAACGCAAGCAGTTACGTTTACTGAAAAACCAACCAACCAACCACCCCCCTCCACTCCTCATAAATTCAGTACTCATCCGGCTCTCTTCCCCAACCCTCAACTACTTTGCAGCATATTTGAGAAATTTTTAAACTCCGAACGAAAATGAAGTTCAATTCGAGCAACCAAAAGCAGTTGTTGTCTAAAATAGCAACGAACAATGGACATGGTGAAGACTCTCACTACTTCGATGGTTGGAAGGCGTACGACAGTGATCCCTACCATCCTACCCTTAATCCTCATGGTGTTATTCAGATGGGTCTTGCAGAAAACCAGGTAACAACAATAGTCAGTACTACTTACTACCTGTTCTTTTCGAAAAAATAATACGCAACTCTAACTCAACTCAACAATACCCTTGTTTTAACTATATTGAGTTGACTACATGAAATAGGTTTCTCAATCATATTGCTAATTATATTTTTCTATTTTATTTTCAGCTTTCCTTTGATTCAATCAAAGAGTGGATTGTCAATAATCCAAAAGCATCCATATGCACAGCAGAAGGAGCTAGTGGCTTCATGGATACTGCTATATTTCAGGATTATCATGGCCTTCCAGAGTTCAGAAATGTATGAATCTTTGAATCATCGATCATGACAGTAGTAGATATTTTAGAACAATTTGATTTGAATCTTACATATGTGGATGTTAAATTACAGGCTGTGGCGAAGTTTATGGGGAAAGTGAGAGGACAGAGAGTCACATTCGACCCTGACCGGATTGTCATGAGTGGAGGAGCAACTGGAGCTCATGAAATGGTGGCCTTTTGCTTGGCAGATCCTGGTGATGCGTTTTTGGTGCCTACACCATATTATCCAGGGTAAATACATTTTATCTTTATTTCTTAACTGTTTTCTCTTCCTATTTTATCTATTTTTCTCGTTGAATACCTGGTTTTTCTACGCGGTTTAATTAGGCGCATTTAGACTTTGAATAATCTGTCCAAAAGAAAAAAGACTTTGAATAATCTATTTCAGCCACTGCATGTAGTCAAACTATCTTAATCCCAGGTTTTTAATATTAGGATCCATATATATAAACTGTTGGATTAGGTTAAATTATTGGTGGGACATGTAAACAACTGGTTTTCTTCTTGTAAAAGTATGGTGGTCCTTTATACAGAAACCCTCATCACCTCCGTGACCACATAGAACAATGATTGAAGATTACTTGTGGAGCACCAGGGCCATCTTCAATTTCAGCCATTGTTTTCTTGGCATGGACCAATCGGAGTCTCTCGAAAATCAATTAGTTTTTTCAAACTTAAAATGTTCTGAATGGTCATTTCATTTCTTCACAGATTTTTCGCATCTGGGTTGGCTCAGAGTTTGACTTTTTGATTGCAGATTTGACAGAGATTTGAGATGGAGAACAGGAGTACAACTTCTCCCAGTAGTTTGTGAGATCTCTAACAATTTCACGGTGACCAAAACGGCCTTGGAGGCAGCATACTCCAAAGCCCAAGAAGCCAACATCAAAGTAAAGGGCTTACTCATAACCAATCCATCAAACCCATTGGGCACCATACTTGACAGAGAGACCCTGAGAAGTGTACTAAGCTTCACTAATAAAAAGAACATTCACCTAGTGTGTGATGAAATCTATGCTGCCACAGTCTTCAACAAGCCTGGTTTTATCAGCATTGCTGAAATAATTGAAGAAATGGAATGCAATCGTGACCTCGTACACATTGTTTATAGTCTGTCCAAGGACTTCGGCTTCCCAGGCTTCCGGGTTGGTATCGTGTACTCATACAACGATACAGTAGTGAAAATTGCCCGCAAGATGTCGAGTTTTGGGCTCGTGTCGACCCAAACACAGCATCTGATTGCATCAATGCTATCAGACGACAAGTTTGTGGACAAATTCATTGCTGAGNCTTTTAATACGTAAAAAAAAATTAATTTTTAATTGACATAAATTTTAATATGTAAAAAATAAATTTTAATTAACTTGAATCGAATTTTAATCGGTTTGAATTTAATTACGTTAAAAAAATAAAAAACAGAGGGGGTCTCATTGAAAATATACTTATCTAGAGGGGGTCGTATTGAAAATATGTTTATTTAGAGGGGGTGTGAATAAAAATTTTTCTCAAATATATCGTGGACAATTTAGTAAAATTGCATTCTACTTAATATTTTTAATCTGACAAGGAGTGTCCTTAGTAAACTAGAGGGGATGTGGTTGAAATTTTTTCTTTATACTATCTTTTTTTCTTTTTTGATTCTAATTCTTCAAGAGGAAAACAATTCTTTTTTGAGCATTATTTTTCCCCGAATCATCTTTTTCGATGCTAGAATGATTTTTGATGTAAAATTTTTGAAATGTTAAGGGACAGCCATGTCAAAATTAAAATATCAGGTGGTGCTTAGAGAATAAATTTAAATATTCGACACTCCCATTGAAATTATCCTACTTTTGTGTGTGTTTGGGGGGGGGGGGGGTG